AACCCAGCAATGCCCCTCTAGGCCCCTTCCCAAGACCCCAACCACAGCTATTTCCAAAGGGTTAGATTATAGAATTCCGTGGTTTTTCCATACAATGTCAGTCAGTCAGTCAGTCGGTCAACAAACACAGGGCTATGTGCCAGGGCCTGTGGATACCAAGATAAACATGACACCTTTGGGCCTGTCTGGAATGAAGTTAAGAGCAAGGTCAACTCCTTAGTTCTGCCACTTACTAGCTATGTAACCTTAGGAAGCCACTTAATCTCTCTGTGCCAGTTTCTTCGTCTGTCAAATGGGATGATGATAATGTACCTACTGAGTGGTAAGCACTTGAGAAGTTGCTATTATTATTTTTCTTGCCCTCAAATAACTCCAGTCTGGTGGAGGAGACTGATATGTAGACTGACCGTCACGATGCCATGCCAAGGACCGAGCTGGGCACAGGGCACCCTGGGAGGCCAGAGGAATGGCTGCTCCTTGGCCTGCACTTAGCAAACATTTATGAAGAGTCGCTCTGTGCCAGGCGCTGTGCTGGCCACAGGGGACATAAAGATGAACGGGACACATTGTCCACTCATCCCTGCTCCTCCCTGCCCTCCCTTCTCCCTCCTGGGCCCAGTCCCAGAATTCTGCCCTGAAGCGGGCACCAGGGAAAGACATGGCCTGGGGGCCAGGCAGTCAGAACACCTGGGTTCATGTCCACCACTCACAGGCTACTTGATGTTGGACACTCTCTGGCTTCAGTTTCCCCACAGTAATATGAGAAAGTTGGATGAGATGACCCCTCTGGTCTTGATCCACTCTGACAGGTGATGAATATATTCTACCCCCACAGGGCTTTAAACTCACCCCAAAGTCCAGTCCCAAGTCAGCCTGTTGTCCCACTGAGGCAGTGGGGAGAAGATGTCTGCCTGGTACTGACTGGCACTGCCCTGCTGATGAGCTGGCACAATTTCACTTGGAACAGGGGGGACTGGATCTAAAGGCAGATTGTTTGAAGTGGGTGGGGGTGCTAGGGGAAAGGCAGAGCCAGCTCCCACAGGCCCTATTCATGGCTCTCTCTGGGGAGGGAGAGAGAGCAGGATAATTAAAACCAGGCTTTGTCCAAATCCCTGACCAAGCCAATATCTCACCTTTGAACCCCTGTAGCCGACAGAGCAGGGCTGATGCCCCTTTAGAAGGAAAACACCAATGAATGGAGCCATGGCCAAGTGCTATTGGTTGGCATGGGGGAGAGTGGGGATAGGAAGTTGGAGAGGTAAAGGAGCTGATTCCCCCAACTGACACCTGAGGCCTTGCCACACTGAGACCTCGCCACACTGAGACCTCTTGTCTCCATCCCTGTCCCAACTAAAAGAAAGGCAACCAAGCTCCAATCCAGCAATAGATTGACCTTGATCTTAGGCTAGTCCAAGAGAAACCCAGATTTGGGGTGGGACTGACAGCAGGGCAAGGAAGGTCCTGAGAATAGGGATAGCAAGGTGACAGCATTGGCTAGAGCCAGACTGCCAGGATCCTACCCCGGCTCTGCTACTTGTTAGTGATGTGATTTTGTTCCACCTCTTAGCTCTCTGTGCCTCAGTGTTCTCAACTGAAAAATGGGAATAATAATGGTATCCACTTCATGGTTGTGCGTGAGGATTAAATGAAATAATTTATATAAATCCTGGCCCAGAATAATTGCTATTTACGTCTTAGCTATCAACTGTACTATGAAAGCAACTGCCCCTCCTTAAAAACATATTTTTTCCATGTATTAATGTATATGCTTATTCGACTATATCCGCATCGCCTATGACTTTGGATTTCTGCACTTGAATTCAACTTCACAAAAATCTACCTGACCCACTATACTGAAGGAAACTTCTCTGCATGATGCTCCAGGCTAGCCTCATATGCTATAGCCCACAAGCCTCTCCCTGGACGCTCTCCTGAAGAGCTAACTGCAATCCCTCATTTTGTAACTTATTCCATTCTCCCCCTTTGTAGTTGCTCTTTTAACCATCCTTCTAAGCATCCCTGCAATGAAGGATGAAGCAAGAAATGCCTCTGCCCACTCCTGCACTGCCCTGTTCTGTAACCAGCACCCTCCCTCATCCCCATGACTATCCATGCCAAAAATGCTGCAGCCCTGGAGGGCCAGATGGGTCTCCTGCTCTCCTTCCCCATGAGCTCAGGGCCACCCTGTGGAGAGGGCACGGAGGTCCCCATCTAGGATACCCAGACACAAGGCCTATTCCCCAGGCCTAGTCCCTCCCTGCTTGGGCTGGGATCCTCAAAAGCCTGCCCCATTCTGCATGGTGTCCCAAAGCTACCTTCCTAATTACGCTCCCCTCTGCAAAGTTTTCATCTTGTGACTCCCAACAGAAGATGGGGCAGTCGGGGAGGGGTGAGTCAGATGCAAGAACTGGGAGCTCACAGCCACTTAAGGGTAGGCTCAAACACTGTGTGAGCAAGTAAAAGAAGAGGCTGGGTTGGGGGCCTTTGGTCTGTGTTTGGAGGTGAAATGACTGGTTATGTAATAGTCATTCAAATCGCATGCCAATGAGCACATCTCAGTGAGAGCGGCCACTTTTGGGAATGGGACTGTTGCCCTGGCAGAGGGGGAGAACCATGTGGGATCAAAGCCATTCACCCCATCTGGGCCCCAGTGGGGGTGAGGGTGGAGATGGTAGAGGGGTGGAGATGAAGTATGTCTTGGTGGGGGGAGAATCGAGGGACTCAGGCTTAATGACCTCCACCCCCACCCCCTGCCCATCCTGAATTTCAAGTTCGTAATTAGGAACTCTTTGGCTGAAAGGTGGAGGGGGTGTTCGTGGGAGAGATGCGAACTGAGGAAGAACTGAGCATACATACATCCAGCTCCTGAGAAACGTACCAGCCTCAGAGTGCAAAGTGCCAGACCCCAGCTCCAACACTGGGGAAGGCTAGGGAGGAGCGACCCAAGGACCTCCAGCCCTGTCAAAGATTAAGAGATCTCAGCTCAGAACTGGACCTCAACCTGTCCCCCCAAGAAACTTCTTTTCTAAGCTCAGAGGACTGGCTTGACAGTGTTTATCCCTTCACCTTGGGAAGAGGGGGAGTGCGCGGTGGGGTGCTCCAGCGGGACTGGGTGGCCAGACCCAGCGGTAGGGGGCTGGCCCCTCCCCAGCCTCAGCAGCTGGCAGATGAAAGAACCCAAGCAAAGTAGCCTAGCGCTGAGTAATGCCCCTGGCACCCCGCGCCCAGACCCACCCACAGCCAGCCGGAGAGGGCAGAGGGGAGGACAGCCGCGCCTGCAGGGCCTGGGGTCCAGGGCCTGTTTCCCTTCCCCAGGACCCGGGGTCCGGGGAAGGACTCACGCCAGGCAGCTCGTCGCGCGGTCCTGCCCTGCAGGGGGCGAGTGTGGCGCGGGGAGGGGGGTGTCCGGCCACAGTGGCCAAGGACATCCCGCTCCGGGAACCCCCTCCCCCACTCCCTCTCCCTCCAGCTGTGCCGGGGCCTCGCCAACGGAAAACGAAAACTCGGGCAGAGGAAACGGCGGCAGACGCCCCGCCTGAAAAACCCGGACAAAAGGCGCGGGCCTCCCGCCCCCGCTGCCCGGCCGCCGGGGTCCTGGCACTGCCGACCGGGTCGTTGCCCCCTGCTCTGGCAGCCCCGCGCGTCCTGGCCCTCTGCCTACCTTCTTCCTTCCCGCCCAGGGCAGCTCTCTCTCCGGCTCCCTCCCCGGCCTGCCACCAGCCGATGTTCTTTGCAGCTGTGCCCGCGATGCCCGCGCTGTGCGCTCCTGGCTGTACCGGCCGAACGGGGGCGCCGCGACCCTGGCCCTGCAGCCAACTCCCGGGAAGGAGCCAGATCCGCCCCCTCCCCTGGCCCAGCACCTCACCTGGGGAGGCCGGGGCTCCGGGCGGGGCGGGATCCCGACCAGGCAGAAGGCGACTCCATTCATCGGGCGACAGCGGCGGCTCTGCGGCCAGGGCACTACTCCCCGAGCGGGCAGGAACCCGGGAGGGGCGGAGCCGGGGGCCGGGCCCTCCCTCTCGCTCCTCCCCTTGAGCTCAGACGGGGCGCACCCGCTGCCTCTCCCTAGGGCAGCGAACTGCCAAAGGCGACTGAGGTAGGGTTTTGCGCTGACAGTGGAGCTAGAAGCCAGAACACAGCCTGGAGGAGAGGTGGTCTCAGGGAGACAGTCTGTGCCGGCCTCCAGGGGGCCGGCTTCCAGGGGACCGGCCCAAACAGACGGTGATCTGGGCTGGCTAAAGAGAGAGGACAAGGGCACCGAACTCGGAAACACAAGGAAAGGGAGGGTGAGAGGGAGGCAGGAAGGTAAAGGGAAGCAGAGAGAAACACAGGCAAACAGATGTCAGAAACGGAGCCACAGAAAGCATGAGAGAGGCAGAGACAAGATAGAGACAGAACAGAGGCAGAGAAAGTCAGAGATAAAGATGAAAGACCCAGGATGGAAGAGAAGGAAAGACAGAAAAAGGCTTAGGGAGCTTTTCGACCAGAGACTCACGGGTGTTGAGAAGAGGGCAGAGATGGTGATGCACATGTGGGCAGGGGATAGGAGGAGAGGGGCTTCCGAGGCTCGGTGCCACTCGATCTAGGGCCCCTCTCTCAGTCAGAGTCTCAGTCCAAGATCTTATGAAGGCCGAGGAGCCAAGGCTGGAAGAGAGAGGCTGGCAGGTGCCCCAGACCTTTGGACCTCCACCTAGCCAGCCTGTGGCTCAGGCCTCTGGACAGCTCACGGACCTACTCCGGAGTGAGCGGCAGTGAGAACGGAGACCCCTCAGATCTCCCAGTCACAAGCAACCAGTAGCCTCCCTTTCCGGCTTCACTCTGAGCTGCACTCAAAGAGCCACTGGGGTCCTGAGCCAGTTCCTTATTTCCTTGCCTCCAAGCAGGCCCCGTCTAGCCCATCTGGGAAGGGACAGTCCCTCAGTGCTTAGTTTCTGATGAGAAGTTCTTTTAGCAAAAAGAACTATCTCCTATTTCCTACACTCCATGCTTACTTCTTTTCCTTTCTCAGAGTATGAAGAAAGGAAGGTAGAGGCCACAGATAGATAGGAATATGATTTGGATAAGGCAGATAAGGAAAGTGGGAAGGCCGACTCCGTCTACTGGAATCGCCCACTCACTCTGAGGCCAGGAGACCTCACACAACTTGTTTGTTTCACCTCTACCACCACCCTGACTCCTGAAAGCGATTAGCCCCAAGCTCCCCACCCCTTCACCACTAATCAGAATCAGGGACTCAAGTCCTGTGATCAAGGTCTCAGGTCCTGTGAGCCTGAGAAAGGAGACTTGCTTTTAAATCTTATATTTTATTTAATTTATTTTAAATCAGGGGGAATGGATGTTTTTATGATAAAGGGGAAGTTAATGACTCCTCCTCTTTCCCCACCTCTCTTCAAGGTCAGATACAGCCAGAATTATTCCCTACTCCTGAGAAGGTCTTCATGATATTTAACTGTAATCTGTCATACTGCCTGTATTTTCTTGCTTAATCTTCAACCAGTTCTCTGTTCCTGACTCTGCCCTGTATGTAGCTCCAGGGGCCCAAGGCTTGCTGCCACCCTGGCTCAAGAATCCTTTCCTCTCAGAACAAGTGGGTTGTCTGTAAGGGGGAAGCTGCGGCATCTGAGATCCAGAATAAACTGAGGCTGTGGGGGAAGGGAGGAGAGCGGTGGCCCCTAGGGTGCCCCTGGCTCACTTTTTCCAGAGCCTGATGCCCTCAGACACTGCAGGAGGCGGTGAGAGGAAATGAGCTCACACTGGCCGGCAGGCAATTCCTCCCTCCACAATGCACTGCACTCACCTCCCCCACCCACTCCCACTTCCCAGAAAGTGTACTCTGCCCCCACCCTGCTGCCCTTCCCACCTCTTCCTGCACCTTGACCCGCACCCCCATCCTGTCCCAACCCTCCCCCATCCATCTTCTCCAACACCTCTTCCATCCTTCCTCTCCATCCTGGCTTCCCATCCCCTGACTCCCTGCAGCTACTCCCTGCATCTCACCTTCCACCTCAAAATCCACTCTCTTCCTGGCATACTCTTTCTCTGAGGTTTTAGGCAGTAAAGCCCAACATGCGGTGGAGGGTGTCCCTCACTAAGGACCATCCTTATACTCTCCCTCTTTCTAAACTCTTCTCCCAGCCCAATCACCTTTATTCATTCACAAATGCTTACTGGGAGCCCGAATATATAAGGGGGTGGGGGAGTAGAGGTATTCTCCTGGGGATATAGAGATAAGGCCTAGCTCCTTTCCTTGAGGGGTCTGGGCCTTACCAATCCTGACTCTAAAATGATATCCTAGAAAAGGAGCAATGTGAGGCTGGAGAAGCAGAGGAAGGCTTCCAGAAGGAGGTGGCCTTGGGCATTTGGGGGCTTCATGGATGGGGCGGGGGGAGGGAGAAGAATGAGGGGAAAAGCACTCCACAGAGGACTACCACGGACAAAGGCAGGGAGGCAGGAGAGAGCATACTAGCAGTGTGGGTGTAGCTGGAGCCAAGTGGAGGGTACATGAACAGGAAGCATGGAGAGATGAGGAAGGAAATGCGGGTGGGGATGTGACCCTGGCGTGACTGCGCCTGAGGCACTTAGATTTTTGCCTGGCTTGGAGCAGGGATTTACGTGGAAATGTGCCATGGCCACTGTGGCTCCATGCAGAAAAAAAATGGAGGACAGCAAGGGGGGTAGGCCTTGCACCGCAGTGTGGGGCAACAAACATTAGAGGCTCCTAGAATTTGATGACCAACCGGGTGTTGAGGAAAGAAGATGGAAGAGTCTAGAATAACTCCAAGGTTTCTGGTTCAGCATATTAGGTAGACGAGTTATCTCAAGTGTTCCCAGAGAGAGGGGACTTGCCCTGTGCTAAGTCCTTCATAATGTATTATTCCAATTTAGCTTTCCAAAGAGGCTGTGAAATGAATATTATGTTTTTCATTTTATGGATAAGGAAACTGAGACCCAGAGAGCTTGAGTATCTTACCCAAGGCCATGCGGGATGTGAACCCAGCCATCTGGGCTCCAGAGTCCACACACTTAACCCCCAGGCTGTGCTGCTAGTGGAATAGTGACGGGCAGCTTAAGCCCAGGTCTATCTCCCTAAAGGGAGGCCTGAGCTAGAGGCATGGCTTTGAAAGTCATTGGTGGACCAGGAGTGCAGTTCAGACTCTCAAGGGCCAGTGCAGAGAGGAGACCAAATGTGGGACAGGACCCGAGGAACAGCAGGTAAGGAAGAGGCAGTGAGGACAATTAGGAAGACTGAGAGGAAGCAAGTGGCTGGAGGAAGTGGCACTGTGACGGGCAGAGAGGGCATCAGGGATGAGGTAGTAGAATCACCCCTGCTAAGAAAATTAGCATAAAGGGACAGCCAAGGAGCACAGGGGAGTCATGGCGAGGCATGTTTCCATTAGGGTGGGGGAAACTTGAGCAGAACTTTTGGTTGAGGAGCAGGCACCAAGAGAGAGAGAGAGCCTGATCAGTGGAGTGGAGGAAAAAGAACTATCTTCCCAGGACCCGGTAGGGCTAGGAGGGGAGTATAGGGGGAGGCCGGGCAGTGCCCAGGCCAGAGCCAACCAGGGTCAGGATCAGGCGTGGCCCGGGAGCTGGCAAGGTGTTGTATGGTGTCATCAAAGAGCACTGAACTGGGAGTCTGAAGACCTGGGTTCAGGTTCCCATCCTGCCTACCTGGTAGCTGTTTATCTTTGAGGAAAAGCACATTCTTTGAGCCTCAGTTTCACCCTCTGTAAGATGAAAACAATAAGGCCTTTTCAGCCTGCCTCTGATTTGGGGCTCGCATTTGATGATGTATTCAAAGCATGCTGTGCTGAAAAGGAAAAACAATGGATGGGAGGCAGGTTATAGGACAAATGGCTGTAAACCTGGCCCCAGTTTTCAGCCCTTCCACTGAGGAGAAAGAGCACCCCCTGGTGGAGAAGGGCAGGAGGGCAGAACTGGAGGAAAGCCTTGAGGAGAGATGGGCCCTATTCTTGTGCCTCTGGCTTTCAGCCCCCAGGTCCTGTGCTTGTCTCTCATAGTCAACCCACCCCCACCTAAATTTTCATCTTTAAAGCAAGCAGAGTCCCAGTTTATTAAAGTTAAAAGACATTTATTGACTGCTGACTACATGTGAACTGCGGTGTGGGGTGATGGGACAGTTTGATGAACCAGTGGATATGCCTGCCTGCAATGAGCTCCTATTCCAGGAAAAGCAACAAACACAGCAAAAGATGGCTGGGATGGTGTTGTGGTGGTGGTGCCAGCAGCACATTAAGCAAAACCAGTGGGAGCCTCCATAATGAAGGGGGAAGGCAGGAGCATGGGAGGCAGTGTTAGTCTAGAGTGGCAAGTGGCAGAGAAAGAAAGTCTGAAGGCTGAGAGCTGGGGAAGACATGGGGTTCTGGCAGAAGCCCCAGGCATCCCACAGAGTGGACCTCATTAAGCATCTTTAATGGTATAGGGTGGGGCAACGGTTCAGTCAAGATGACACCAACTCTAGTCCCCACCCTCATCCCTGCTGCCAAGTCCCTGAAGAATCCTGGGTAAGGGGAATCTACCTGAACACCACTCGGGGAGGAGAAGCTACAGAGCCCTGACCAGGCTGAAGTCAAGGGACACCGGCAACCTGACAAACAGCAGGGGCCTCAGCCCAGCAACCTCTGGACAGCCACCTCGGGGCGAGAATGAGAGGCTACAGCTTCTCTGGGCTGGCAGCAGAGCAAGCAAGCCACACCCAGCGAAGCCCTGGTATCAGGGCAGAGGGTGGAGGAAAGATGCCCAGCCCTGCCGCTGTCAACCGGCAGGCCATAGGGGTAACCATGTTGGGGAACATATTCCATGGTGTGAGAGAGGAAGAGACCTTGGACTGGGGTATCAGCCCTGCAGCCTCTCAGCCGTGTGACACAGGGCAATTGAAGACCTGGTGGCCTGGACTGCATGTGTGAATGTGTATACAAGGTGAACAGATGACTTAAAAGAACCATGACATCACCTAGCAGGAGCTTGAAAACACCAACATGGAGAGAAA